TTGTCCCACTTGGCCTTATCATCTGGCTGGGCCAGCACCTCTGCTCTACACTCCTGCACCCTTGCCACTGCTGCGGTCATCTTATTCACTTCCTCTCTCCTCCTCTTCTTCTCCCTCTTCATTCTCAACTTCCATGCTAACTTTTGCTCGTCTTCCCTCTCTCTTCGTTCCATTGGGTCTGTCATGGCTGCTAGCTCATCGGCCAGCGCAGCCTTCTCATCCTTAGTCACAAAGGACTCCGCCTCCTCGTCTTCCCCCAACGATAAATTAGCGACCCACTCGCTGATCTTCTTCTCCAGCTCAGTGTCTGTCTCCCACTTCATCGTGCCACCACTGCTCCCTTCTCCACTCTCAATTCTCATTCTCTCTTTCTCTTCTTCTGTTGCCGCTTCTGCTTTAGCAGCCTTCCTTCTTTCTTCCTCCTCCTGTTGTACCCTCTTCATCTCCTCCTCCAACCTCTTCATCTTCGCCGCCTGCTCATCTGCGATAGCCTTTAGCTTCGCCTCCTTCTCGCGCTCTTTTCTCTCTTTGTTCTCTCTGACTAAGGCGACCATTTTTTCTTGCTGCTCCTTGCTGTAGGGGTTAGTCTCTAGCCTAGTACGGGTCTCAACCATGGTGATAGGTGCACAATCAGGATGATTCCACTCCTCACCACATAGACTCTAACCCCTGACTGACAAACCTCTAGACTCAATCTAAGAACCCACAAAATCCTGACAAGGACCCTGTCAACTATGGTCTCTAGCCTAGACCTATGCTATGGCTGTCACTACTGAACCAGTGGCTGATCAGGAGGCATTTAAGGAGATCCCCCGTAACTCCTCAAGAATTCTTTAACGTCGCAGACAAGACGACGTGATCAGCTTGGTTCTGCATGTGCTTTCAGCCCACAACTCAGCCTTTCCGGCCTACTGTGCCACACCGAGCAGCCCGCTGGTCTGTACCGGTCCTTGGGAGGGTTCGTATCCCCCGGGACAGTTGAGTCGTCAGACATAGATCATCAGCCTTACTTGGTTTGGTAGGGGAGTGGTTCCAACAGGCCCTCAATACTTAAAGACGGCCTCCGTTTCAGCCTGCAGCTCAGAAATCGGACCCTCTACACTGAAACTGAGCAGACCTGCCGGACAGTACCGGTCATTGGGCTAGACGAGTTGTTTAACGAGCGCTCGCCGCTCATGCCCAGGTCTCCAGATACCAGAGTAGAGATTAGTCCTACTAAGTCCCGTGCAGGTTTGGCAGCAAGGCCCTATCCTTCATCCACAGAGTTCTATGACCTAGGACAGAAGAGACTCAATGCAGAAAGAATAGACAGACAGACTGTACTCAGCAAGTACCAAGGGGTATGTGCACATCCATAGGGCAAGGGGCAGGCTAAGGGCTTGGCGAGATGTTACCAACTCCAGCTTGGTCAAA